GGCCATGAAAGTGCTGAACACAAGCCTGTGCCACCTTGGTCTTCCCAGCATTTTTCCCAGACAGGAAGATGGATGGGCCCAACTCTATTAATAACCACACTCCACTTACCATGGCGCCAAAACTGCAAACACTGCAACTGCCCCCTGATGCTAGCAAGAACAACCGCCTCCTTCACTGTCGCCCACATCTACCCTGATATGAAAACACTATGTTTGGTAACCGTGTAGTAAACGGGCGCTGGAAATCTCCAAGCTGCCAACCTGCTCCTGATCCTGCATCCTCTCCGACAGACAACAGGGGTTTGAACATGCACAAATATATTTGAGTGTGAGAATTAAATAAATTTGAAAAATATGAAGCTAATTAGTAGTAAAATAACATGATGTTTGTGATGAAAAAACATCATGTTTTTAGCGCTCGTTCATCCAGTTCTTGAGGAGAATCCTCACTGAGTTATCATGTTGTTGTTGTCTTTAAAAATCCTCACTGAGTTATCATGTTGTTGTCTTTAAATCTGGTCTTTTCTGTTTTATTATATTTACAAGAAAATACTGTGTATAATTAACATTAAAAACATAAGTAATTTTTGGAAATTCTGTAAATTGTGTGGCCTTTCTATTTGTCAGCAGCTCTGAGGCGTTTGGTAACGTTTTGGTAACGTTTTGGTAACACCCCGTCACAGGGCAGATGGTGTTCAGTTTAAAAAGCTGCAGAGACAGATTTAAAGAAAAAAACAGAGTTGGAGTGAAGAAGAAAAAAAAAACAACAACAAACAACAAAAAGAGGTGAGAAAACAGTGTGAAAACAGGAAAGCTCCAGAAATATGTGGAAAAGTGGTGAAAGACGGCGGAGGGCGAGGAGAGGAGTTTGTAAATGTGCAGGAGAGCCAATGAATGAAGAGCATTGTTCCTAACGAGGTGTGACAGCACGGCACGAAGTCAAGCACGATTACTGAGGATTAGATAACAAGAACAACCAGCTAGAAAAGATCGTCAGGCCCAGTGTGTGAGTGAGTGTGTGTGTGTGTGTGTGTGTGTGTGTAGGTACAGCTGTGGTTGTGAGGAGATTTTTTTGTGCATCACGCTTTGTTTTGGTGGGTTTTGTCCTTGTGGGGAGAAGGGAAGATGGTACTTTGAGGTTTAAGGTTTAGTTTGGATTCAGGGTTAGAATTAGGGCTGAGAGAGAGAGAGAGAGAGACAGCACTGAGGTCAGCTCCACCTTCACAGTGCTACAGGCTGTGATATCCAAACATGGCTGACAGTAGGTGCTTCATCACAGCGCGGCACTTTGACACAGGAGCCGTTCCTCCTGATTAATCCCCTCTTCTTGTTGCCCACTATGAAAAAATGCTGCAGTTTTCACACAAAAAAAAAAAACCACGAGAGCACGAACACCTGTTCTACCATCACGGGTCGAACGTCGTCTTTCATTCCCAACATGCAAATGGGTATTTTTACTGAACGTTTCCAACGCGAGGGGCGGGAGATTGAATGGGTCCGCAGCACGGCAAATTATTTGTTGAAATAACAGTGATTTAAATAGAGTTCAGTACAGCTGTGGAGATGGGAGGTTCGGGGGGGCACTATCAACTAAAGGGGGCGCTGCAGAGACAGTTTGGCAACCTCAGCTAAATGTAAGTTCTTCTGTAACTTTCATTTTTAGTCTGGCCGTTACTGCAATAATGCAATTTGCAGTAAAACAACTTTCATTTTTAGTCTGGCCGTTACTCAATGCAATTTGCAGTAAAACGTTGGATTTTTACTACGTTTTTTTTTTTCTTGATAACTTTTACCATATGGAAACATAAAAAAAAAAAGATGATTCACTTTTACCATATGGAAACATAAAAAAAAGCCGTTTGGACTGATTCGTTTCCAGGTACAGTCTCTCTCTGAGACCAGAAAAGTTTTCTGCTGAGACACGGACATTTCAGGTCCTTCAGGTCCGATGGCGCTCACGTGTTGTTACGTCTGAACAAAGTCAACTCACGGCTCAAGTAAGAAACCCTGAGTGTGCAGCACGTAGAACACGATGACCGTGCACGGACGACGAGGAGGAGGCCGACGGCCGCTGACAGTTTGAGAGGTGGATCGATGCCGTAATGAAGAGACGAAGGCGCGGGCGTTATCAAAGGAAAGCCCAGCGGTGCTGAAACGCACAATAACAAACAGAATCGGGTCCTGGAGGAAGAAGAGTGAACGACACATCCAGGGGAACAGTCTCTGTGACGTGGTCAGAGCACAGACTGTTTTCTACTGGTGTTTGGTGAGGTGCTAATTGTACAAATGTGTGTGTATGTGTGTAATAACAGTGATTAAAATGAACACAGATCCGTTTGACACTGAAGGTATGGTGGGAAGTCACATGACTGGAGCTCATGACTGGTGAGGTGAAAATTGAACTTCATTAGAGCTAAAAGACAGAATGATGGATTTTACAACTCCACTGGTAACATTTTTACTGCCAGACAGTTTGCTGCTAATGATTGGAATATAAAAAAGTGACCCATCATGCTCAGCACAGCTTGACTAAATGGAGCACACTGGTCAAATAAACCTCACCCCAGCGACCTGTAAATCTTTTGCTGGAGCGTTCTGCAGCCGGGCCTTGTTTCATTCTTTACCCTCAGGGAACAAAGGCGGGGGGGTTTAGTCTCTTGCCCCCAGACCCACACTCTGATATATTTGGTAATAACTCAACAACAGCCAACCTGTGACCCAGTTTCTAACAGATGCACGGTCCTGCCACATGTTGAGCCACAGCTGCAGTCAAACTCCGAGCCTGAACCTCAGTCTGCAGCAGTGAGATCAGTGCATGAACGCCATCTGTAAACAGGAGTGAAGGAACATCAAAGGCATCAAAGCCCGTACACACCCAGAGACACGAGGGAGCGTCATTGGCTGTGAGTCAGTGTTGACAGAGAGCACGTGTGACGTCCATCTGTCTCTGGACAGGATCCTCCAACTGAACACAAGCAGTGGACTGACCATGTGTCAAACAGGAGTCTGTGGGTTTGAGCGTCAGTAGGCTCAGTACTGACAACTGACTACTGTGACATGTCTGTTCATGTACGTTCATTCATTCACCTGTCATCACTTCATCCTGTCACAGCAGCTGTCAGTCCATCAAACAGACCAGACTGAGACAAACAGACCACGAACACAGTTAAGGTCAACTAAGAGTCACTTCATAATCCAGTGTCTAATCTGCAAAGACAACATCTACACACACCCAGACACAAGGGGAAAACAAGAGTCAGTGTCCACTGATCCACAGAGCAGAAGTCAGAGCATGTTTTTATGGTCTGTAGACCATCTGTGCAGATGACTTTCTATTAACACCTTCGATTGGTTAATTCTATGAACCAATGAGAGGATGAAATACCAAAGGTGCAATAAAGACAAAAAAAAGCACAATAAATACACATGTATTTTAACTGATAAGATTTTAAAATAATGTGTATTTTTGACAACAAATAATTGACACATTTCGTCGACAGTCGCAGCGCCGTCCGTCCGTCCGTCCGTCCGTCTGCTGCCACTCAGAGCTGTTAAACTGAGACACTGAGTCAGTGACGGCAGCTCTGCCAATCACCTCATCACCATATTTGTTTAAATAACACTTCTCATTTGATTGTGTGTAGACGGGGATTTGTGCAATTAAGGGATTTCTGAGCTGATGCAACACATCCTGTGTTCTGTAAAAGGAAGCTCGCTGCTCTAGATTTGATATGACATCACTAACAGGAGGGAACTGGAGAGTAAAGGAGGAGGTTTGTTGTTTTTTGATATGACATCACTAACAGGAGGGATCTGGAGAGTAAAGGAGCAGGTTTGTTGTTGACTGTTGTCTGACTGTTTTCAAGTACTCACCCTTCTCTGTTCTCATCTTCGTCGGTGTTGGACAGGAGCTGTGACCCGGCCAGAGACAGGTCCAGAGCAGTGAGGGGCAGATCTCTGTAGCCGAAACTCACCAGCTGCACCGGAGGAGCCAAGCACTGGTTCTCATCCTCCACCGGCTGGGAGATGATCTCCAGGTCGGCCAGACCTGCCTGCTCCACCTCTCTATGGTTACGAGTCAGAAGCAGCAGCAGCAGCAGCAGCAACAGCAGCAGCAGCAAAAACACAGAAGAAAGAAGAAGAGACAAAATCAGTCTGAGTAAAAACTAGTTGCTGTGGTCACTAACTATAATTAAATTAACTTAACTCAACACTGCTGTAGATTTATGTAATTTATTCATGATAATTTGTTCAGATTTATTGACTCTGGTTTTTAGAGTTACAGCATCCACTACCTCACACACTTCCTGCCAACAATAATCAAGTTTTTTTGGTTTGTTTTGTTTTTTAAAAAAAGGACCAAAATGATTTATTCATCATTGACATCTTATTCGTTTTCAGCCATGTATGTGTGTGGAGGTTAAAGGCAGACTTCAGTCCGACCCCTGGACAGTTCAACAGTCACTTCACATACAGAGACATAATACACTCACATTCTCACCTACTGTATCATCAATTCAGACGGAACAACTGACCAAAACCTGAATGTTTTATGGACAGTTTCACAAAAACCAACCTCCACAGAGTAGCCTGACTGAAATGAGGTCGTCGAAATTCCAAGGACCAACATCCTGTTTTCCCACAGGCTCCGCCTCTCAGCCTGTACATTAAACTAATCTCCTCAGTCATAACAAAGTGCCAACCTAAGTCTGTCTTTAACTGCACTGGTGCCACTGAGGGAACACTGGGTCAGCAGACTGTACCCGCCGTGTGAGGTGGGCCGGGCCACGAGAGTGGAGCACGGAGGTGGAAACAAAGGTGTGGAGTGTGGAGCGCAGCTGCAGACTCACTCTGAGTGTGTGTGTGTGTGTGTGTGTGTGTGCCCTGTGGGGTGTATTTTTAGACCACAGCAGATGCTGGTGCATCATGTCTGCTGTGACGTCATGAGCTCTCCCTGTGTCAGCTGGGTAGAACTCCACTCTCCTTCAGACGTAAGAGGAAGTCAGGAAAAGGTGAACGGAGATTGGGAGAGGGTGAGGTGAGGGTGAGGTGAGGGTGAGGTGAGGGAGGGGTGAGGGTGAGGGTGAGGGTGAGGATGGGGGTAGGAAAGACGTAGACGAGGAGAGAGGAGAGAGAAACCAAACTAAAAAAAGGTGATGAGCAATAGATGGGATAGGAGATAGACCTCAGATATAGACCACAGATGTAGACTACAGATATATACCTCAGATATAGACCACAGATGTAGACTACAGATATATACCTCAGATATAGACCACAGATGTAGACCACAGATGTAGACCACAGATATATACCTCAGATGTAGACCACAGATGTAGACCTCAGATTCGTTTTAGCCGCGCTGCTCACTTCATTTAGCACGTTAGCATTTTACTTCTGTTAAATTCCCCTCTCTTATTTACAGACACTGATGAAACGCGTTGTCTTTGATTTAACAGTTTATCAGCGACTAAAGAAAAGCTGGTCCGACGTGTGTGTTTAAACTCCATGATTCCGAGTACTGAACGACCAACAATTCTGTTGTTGCACCGATAAACGTGCGATTGATAAGAGACGAGACTTCATTACGACATGAAGTTGTTGCGGCGGCAGCTGCTGAGCACAGAGTTTCCCTGAAAACAGCTGTGGTTTTTGTTTTCATTAATGAAACCGCTGCGGTGTCCAGGGAGCACGTGTTATTAGAGTGGACTCTCATGAGCTGCAGAACCTCCGTCTAATTTGATAGGTTTATTTCCCTGGAAAAGAAGACCTGGCACGTCTGCGATAAGACAAACTCAAAGTCCAGTGAGAGAAGGAGCGTTTCCGTCCGACGTCAATCTGTGTTCGATATAAAACCAGATTATATTAAAATGAGACAATATTAAAGACCAGGACCGTGGAGACACAGCGTCATGATGCTGCACTGACTCTGTTTGATAAATAATTTCCTGCACTTCACACACACACACACACACACCCTCTCATCCAGAGTTTCCTCCTCTCATCCGTAGCACAGCAGCAGGTCTGGCTTCAATCCCAAACAATCAGGACTGTTCACACAACCGCTCGTGACAGACACAAGCTGTCCAAACCCCACCGCCTCACAGCTGATGCTAATGTTCCTGCTGCGCTCCCTTGCCGACAGTCCGGCTCCCAAGAACGCCGACTTCAAGAACTTCAAGGAATGAAGTTTGAGTGGCTGCGCTGTGAGACGTTTCCAAAATATTTACTGTAATTATTGACCTGCATTTTACTGAAATTTCCTCAAAGTTCAGACGGTAAAGCTCATCTCCTGTGGTGATGTTCAACCTGTCAGGAGCATTAAATAATTCATCCAAGTCAATGATGACTTTAATTCACCACGACGCCAACACTGTCAACGACGGAGCCCAAATGTCACAGCAACCTTTGTCTCCATCCAGGGACAGAAATAAATACAACATTAACATTGTTTTAAATACAATACTGACCTTTTCTTCAACTTGTTAATTAACAGAAAGTGGTTTTTGCAGAATTCTTTGGAAAATAATTTCAGGAAAAGATTAGCTGGACCACAACTGCCAAAGAGCACCCAGAGGTAATAAGTGATATTAAAGAGGAGCAGGATTCCCCGAGGGCAGAAGATAAAATTAAACAGTGCAACGACGTGCCAGGTAGAGAAAGGTCATCGTGTGACAAAAGTCGCTCAGGGGACTTCAGTGTCTAAAGTAGAAGGTCACACAAGTAACTGAGGGCCGGTGGTGATGCAGTACGGTCTCCCTGAGAAAAAAGCTAAAAAGCACATTCACCTTTGACCCTAACTCGTGACCTTTTATACAAGTAGGCAGACAAAAGTAAAAGATGTTTTCTTGATCAGAGGTGACTGTTGTTTGCTAAAATTAAAATTATTTATTTACTATTTTCTTTCACTTATAAATCAATGTATAGTTTGTCTTATCTTGTTTAAAAAGAGTTGAAAAAATATTTTCTATTTTGAAGGTTAATACTGTGTATGTTTTGATTATGAACTAGTAAATGTACAGAAAAACTTTGTCACGTTCTTCTCTGACTGCAAACTCCTAAACACCCTGATCAATGAACACCTGATATGTTGCAACCGACTCTGTTCACGTGTTCAGATCTAAAATTTTTTTTGCCTTTTGTGAACACCTGATATGGTGCAACAGACGCACGCAAAAAAATTTTTGCCTTTCGGTTGTATGTTAAATTCTATATTCATTGTTTAGATTAAAACTCCAGGGTTTCCACCCAGGTTCTCATTATTGTTTGGATTTTACAGTTAAAACAGGTTTTCATTCAGGAGTAAAACGATCTGGAAGCTCCAGTCAAAGCTCTGTGATTGTTAAGGGCAGAATCTGGAGTCAAAAACAAAGTTAATGAAACAGAAATGTTCTGTGAGAAGAACGTTGACGTCAATGGATGTAATCTTTTAAATGTGAAACAATAATCTCAGCATTCTGTCAATGCCACCGACGACAACGTGAAGAAGACGAAAACATCATTATTGATTGACTGTACAGAACAAGAACGTGTCAAAAAAAAAGAGTTAAATTAAAATTAACTGTTATTGATGGTTATTTAATATTAAAAAAACATTAAAATCAAAGTTGTACTTAATACTGACTGTCATTTAAAAATCATTTTCAATTAGTGTTACATGACAATTTAAAACGCTCTGATTTTCTGCCTGTCACATTAGCTCATTATTCTTATAATTAATTTTACAGATTAAATTCTGATGAGCTGACGGGCTCCACAAAGGCCCCGCTGCGACCAGTCTCTTATCTGACCTTTACAGACTCTGGACACAGGAGACACGGAGGACCTGTGGGCCAGGACCGGGACAGCAGATGTCCAGGAGTGTTTTTATGGAGACGAGGCCTCTGGACGATGTGTCAGCAGCCAATTATAGACTCTTTTAATTTCTGAAGACACTGGAGGGAGTGGGAGTCTGAAAGAACTTTAATGAGTAAGTGGACGGAGCTCTGCAGGCTGCAGTGTCCACCCAGTCACATGTCACTGCATTCAGGACAAATGACAGAATAATCTGGACGTCTGGATTATGTTTCCCCACAGGATTAATATAGAAATCTATCTATCACTGCTGGAGGTGAGTCTGGTAGTTGGTATTTAATTATTATAAGAGTAAATGAGGGGTTATTTTTAGTTGAGGAAAATATATACAATATACTTTACAATAATAATCATATATTTCATTAGGATTTCAGTGTGTGTCTAAATGATTGGTCATATACAGTAGATGGTTCAGTTTATCATTTTTAGATTAAAAGGTAATAAATAATATCTTACATAACAGAAATACCACTTTTTTGGAATAAATATAATACATATTTTTAAGAGTTTTCAGCTATTGTTGATCTAATTCAAGTTCATTTTTGAGCTTCAGGCGTTTGTGTAAAAAATAAATGTGTGTCTCAATATGGGGGCCAGGACTAAAACCGGTCCTTTTTTTTTTTTTAATCAAAGCACAAATGGAATAACGATCCCGACAAATCAATTGGGTCAAGTGCATCACTGCTGCAGGTTGATGGGCCAAATTAAGACGGCCAAAATGGTGATTTCTTTTTTTTTTTTACAATTCTCCTGGAGCGACTTCACACACACAAACAAACACTACAGCATGTTTCCTCATTAATGCATCAGCTGTTCTCATACCCACACACACACACAGAGTGCGGATTATAAATGGAAAAACTGGAAGAAGAAAAAAAATACTGGAGGTGGAAAAGGGAAGCGGTGTTAGATTCAACAGCTACGGACAAAGAACCAGAGAGAACCAGAGAGAGAGGACAAACACTGGGAGCTGTGATTCAGAACGGACCATCTGCAGCCAGAACTGTGCAGGTGATGAATGAATCTGCATCTTAGCCTTGTGGTATTTAGTATTCACAGAGATGAGTCTTAGGGACGCCTCAGCACCGGAGTCAATAAAGGTCATTATTACAGAGGAGACGTAGGATTGAGTGAAAAAAATGGGAATAAAAAAAATGAAAAAAATGAAGTATTGAGGAACTGAAGTTGAGGGAAATCTTTGATTTTATATATATATATATATATATATATATGTTTCAAATGTTAACACAAATCATAACTTTGTTTGTTTTTATCAAAGGAAAATAAGTGGCGTGGTCTGCACTTACTCAGAGTTGGCCATGATGTGGGAGATGGAAGGATGAGCCACGGAGTGTTCTGTTGAACCTGCAGAGAATAAACACATGCAGTTGAACTTTTCTGATTTACTTTTGTGAATACATGTAAGATCATATTATTAGGAATAATTCAGAACATGCTGTGTCTTATATGTTTAAAAATAGAGATTAACACTTGTCAGAAACTTTAAAATAAAACTGTTAAACACTCAAAGAGACAGAAAATCAAAAGCTTAACAGAAGCAGGAAAAGAATATTTTTGATTTTGTTTCCAGAGCTGCTTCAGTCTGTTGGTAAAGGTACGGTTTTAAAGAGAGAGATTTCACAGGTTTTAATGGAAACTAAATGATGAAGACAACAGAAAACTTTTTAACTACCAAGGTGCGAACAGAGTGACCAGACATCAGGGACTCAGCCTGACCGACTGTTACCGACCTGTGTGGGCTTTACATGGTTGGCGGGTGATCGGGCCGCCCGCTGCCCTCCTGCTGGTAGTAATGTCTCCCCCGGTGATGGTGGAGGTGGTGGTGGTGGTGGTACAAGAGATGATGAAGATGAAGCAGCCTTCCTCAGTTCTTTAGCATTGGATGAACTGCACTGATGCTGCTGCCACTGATGCTGCTGCTCGTCTCACAAAGTAAAACTAAACACAGACGCAGGAACATTAAACCCAAAAACCATCGTCTCTCAGTAACAGCACATTTGCTGTGAGTTGCTATTGGAGTAAACAAATAACGAGCACGAGGAGTAAAACCTCCTCCTCCTCCTCTTCCTCCTCCTCCTCCTTCTACTACTTTGTATCGTATGGTGGATTTGTGAGCTGATCCAGATCCAGATCCAGGACTAGGTCCAGGTCTGGGCTCCAGAGTGGAGTGGAGGGGGGGATTCCCAGCGAGCGCAGCGGGAAACCCTGCCAGAGCAGGTGTCCAGGTTTTGAATCAAGTCCCGGTCGAGCCTCGGTCGAGCCTCGGCCGCTTCACCAGCAGCGAGCTGTGAACAAGATCTTCAGCCGAACGTCTTCAAAACACTGGCGTTTCGCTGCGGGAGTCTGACAGCGGCCAACGAGTCGTGTGACATTTTGCGTCGCTCCGGTCACGACATAGCAATCTAAAAATGATTACCGTGTGCGAGCAAGTGCGCGTGGCACGGTGAGAGAAACGAGAGGACGCGTGTGACAAAGATCCCTCAGTTTTCCGTCCAGGCCAATCAGAACCACGGCTGGTTTTACTAGCCTCGTGCCTGCTTTGTCGTTCCTCTCCCCGTTATACGCGGCTTTTTCATGGTTTCCCAAAATAAAGATACTATGGGAATATAAATGAGTGGACAGCAGTTGGATTAACCGTTTGTCATTCAGCGGGATTAGCCAGTGGATGGTTAAAAGCGCACATCAATCAATCGCGAGCGCCTCTTCCTTTTCCTTGAACACGAGATGTTATAGGCTGAGGCTGAGGATCCAGGGAGTGCACAAATGAGGAGAAGTGTGATCTGAATTCAGAGGAGGAGGCGTGGAGTTACAACCGAGGAGGAAGGATGCGTAACGTAACGCCCAGCTGACTCCAGAACAGCCTGCTCTGCAGAGACTCACGGTTAAAACAGTCCGACATAAGACAAGAGAGTTCGATCACCGAACTAGATGTTCGGTGATCGACTGATCATATGAAGCGTATACTTCACCATAAAAGAGTGACCGGTGTTCTTACAGTAAGAACATCACTGGTTTGATCCCCGGTGGTAGATGATGGTCTTTTTTATGCAGAAATTTCACGGTGTTTCTCCCGGTTCTCTGGTTCCCACCAACGATCCAGGCTCCTGCACGATTCGGTAAATTTGACCACAGGTTGGTGTAAATGGACTGGTCAGTTGTCCAGGGTGTCCAGAACCCTGAAAGGATTAGCAAGTAGAAATGTAGTGAATTAAATACACAAATATAAAGACAGACAGAGTTGGGGGGGGGGTACACAAATATAAAGAGAGACAGAGTTGGGGGGGGGGGGCATTGATTTGAAGTGTGTAATACTGAGGAAAGTTGTGAAACAATGTCAGTACTTACCTTGAAAAGATAAATGATCATTTTTACCAAACACTTCCCACGGACATAAACACCCAGTGTAAGTCATTACTAACTTGTTGAAGTTTATTGAAGGAAATGATCAGAACAAACGTGATTTGGCACATGTAGAAAAGTGCAAACAGACAGAACCCAGTTATAGATCTATGACACCTGATAACCAACCTAAAACACATGATCTATTTCTGCAGGTGTTGACATGCGGTAC